GTATATATATATATATATATATATATATATATATATATGTAAGTGTATATGGTAGTTATTCTTAGACACAAGTCCAATAATATCTTATTTATTAATCTTTTAATTGAAGTTTATTAGTGCTCGGTCTCACACCAAGCTCTTGTAATGAGTATCGCTTGGTCTTATACCAAGCGCTCGTACCCGTTCATAGTAAATCAATCTTGATGAAATAGCGTTCGTCCAATTTCAGTAGAATCTCCTATACCGTGTTCGGTCATTGACCGGCATTAGGTTTCTGTAGATGAATTATTCTAAACATGGTTCTTTAACGTCTTGACATGTCTACATTCATTGGTTTCGGCCTAGAGCCCCGTACTTGATTTATTCTTGAGTATTGGTTTGAACTTACGAGAGTCAGTTCATTCAACTGATTCATGTTATAAATAATGTTCGTCATATGGTATATGATTGTACTCGGTCTATTCCTAAATCTATTAGTAACCCTTTTGGTTTTATTCTAATCTGGAACGAGCGACTTCTCGGTCTCGTTCTTAGTGTTCAATCCTCGTTCTGAGTGAGGACTGAACGTTCGGTATTTGAAGTTATTAGAAATTGTGATATAGCTGAAATTAAAATGATGGGTAGTAAATGATGAAGAGTATATGAGACTGATGAAATGATGTGAAATATGAACGAGCGTTCCGGGGAGGAACGACTCATGAGTGAATATTTGAAAGTTGTAAAGTATGACTGTGGTAATGCTAAGCTGTCGATTCATCCTGATGTTCCGTGAGTACTCGTCCTCATGTAGAGGAGGGTAGGTCATGTGTGGGAACGGCAGGAGGTCCTAGTCCTTAGGGGTACTTTGGACAGATAGGATTAACCTCGGGTGGCAGCTGATAAGAGTATTCCAGTTACTACATCACCCGGGTGCACGAACGTCGTAGCTACACAGATGTCATACAGTCCGGACGGTCAGTCTAGTGATAGGCTTTGTAAGATGCGTATGTTGAATTTCTATTGTGTATTGGATTGTTTAAAATATATGTTGATGCATGAATTAAATTATATAAGCTTACCCTGTGTTTTCCTTGTGTTGTCTTGTTGTACGCCCGTCCTTGTCGTTACAATGATCATCCGCGTGGATGTGAGCAGAAGGAGACGCGCTCCTGGAAGAGGCGCTGGAAGAAGAGAATTTGGTAGAAATTGAAGTTAAGACCGAACAGTAGAACGTTCGTCAGTAGGGTAGTTTTGTATTGAGGCGGTCTTTCCCCTCTTTGTCATCTTATTATATATGACCGTTCGATATTCTGTTTTGTAAACCGTTCGGTCAGACTCGTGCTTATGTATTGTTTTTATATAACAACTCTCTCACTCTGTAAGGCCGTTCGGCCATGAGCGTACGTCATTCTAGTGTAAGACTGAACTGAATTATTATTAATTGTAATCATTCTACTATATAGTATATTGCTGTATTTTTGGGATGTTACAATATGTATTTTAGAAACTTTTCAAATATTGAAATTGTGCTTATTATTTTATAAGAAATTACATATCAATTCAATATATTTTTTTATAATACTTACATATTGTTTATAAAATTATATGATTTCATCATCAATCATTTCACTGTCTAAACCCTTTTAAAAAAAGCTTAAAATGAGTTGAATATGAAGTGAAAATGGTCATATAAGTTGGATATATATTTATATATATTATGTGAAAGAGATAAAAGTTCATGAGTATCCGAGTACATAGGAGGTTAGATAATTTATGATGATAGATGATAGATGATGATTGATGAGAAGGAAGTGCAAAGAAATTTGAATCACAATGAAAACAACACCTTCCAGAAGAATATAACAACTCATGATTTGGTGTAGTTTTCCCAGACATTACCATCATGCATTTTAACAAAATAATTCAAATCACCTTTCTTTTCTTTAAACAAACCCAAGTCAAATAGCTAAGTGGTTAGTTACATAATAATTACATATAAATCATAAAAAATTGCCACTATATAATACATACAGTTACAGTGTTATTTTCAGAAAAAAGTAAGTGCACAGAAAATACTTTAATTCTCAAAAACGACAATTTATGTTGACTTTCTTTTGAAAATTAGCTTGCTATATGATTTTATTTTTATAATAGATTAATTCTTTTTAGCTTCATATTCAAAATATTTCAAATGATGCTCAGAATTTTCTATTGTTGGTTACAAGTTGGAAAGAAGTGTGAGGAAGATGTGAATGGAAAGAAGAGGAGGTTGGGACCCGCCAAAGAGTTTTGAGTTTAAAGCATAAGGGATGGAGAAGAGAGAGAGAGAGTATCCGACATGGTAACAATACAACCAAAAACGTTAACACTTAAAACACAAACTTGTTTAGGGGCCACTCTTTGGGGCGCCATTCTCTTTTTCCTTTCAAAAAGCAAAGCTACTATCTTTCCTTTTCTATTCTCTCTCTCTCTCTCTCTCTCCTTCTCTCTCTTTCTCATTGTTACCCTGTTGGTGGATAGCAAAACTTCAGCAACCCCTTTGCATCTGATCTCAGAATCCAAACTCAAGTACCAATTTTTTGTCATTTCATGATCTGTAAGTTCATGTTTTGTTTTTGTCTCTTTTTGGTTAGCTTGCTTTTCCCTTATAGCTTACAACTAGAAAGAAAAAAAAAAGGATAAAAAATGTGATAAGCTGGTATAATAGGGTTTAGTTTCATTGTTAATGTGGCTGTGTCAGATTTTTATTTTTATTTCAATGAGTTTAGTGGGTAGAGTGGATCAGTGGTATCTCAATTTATTAGTTTCTGATTTGGGGTATGTCTTTTTTGTTAATATTTTATTCTGTGAGTGAATGCTCCTTTCCTTTTGGGTTGTTTGTGAAAATTCATTGGACTGCTTTAAGTGGAGCATAACCTGCTATACTGTTGTTGCTAAAGATTGCATTTTTTTTTTGTCACAGAGGTGGTAGATCGTGAAAATGACGAGGATGACCCGTGATTTTGGGGATACGATGAAGAAAGATGCAGTGCCTGCAGTGTCGGCCGATGTAATATTTGCTTCTCTTCGGTTTCCTAATTACAAAATAGGGGTTAATAATCAGATCATGGAGACAAAGGGTGATCCAAAAGTGCTATCTATGAAGGAGGTTGTTGCACGTGAGACTGCACAGCTGTTGGAACAGCAGAAACGAATGTCTGTTCGGGATCTTGCCAGTAAATTTGAGAAGGGTTTGGCAGCTGCTGCAAAGTTGTCTGAAGAGGTCATAGTTTTATATTTAGAATTCAACTTATTTTTGATGTAATGCTTAATTTTGGAGCGCATTTCAACTTGAGAATTCTATTATGAAATTTGTTTTTTGATTTTTACTTACTGAGATTATCAGTGTTCATAATTTGCAGTGCACTTCTTGTTGTTTTCATTACTAATCTTTTTGTATGGTGGTGGAATTCAGGCTAGACTCAGAGAAGCAGCTTCACTGGAAAAACATGTTCTTTTGAAGAAGCTTCGAGATGCATTGCAATCCTTAAAAGGGAGAGTGGCAGGAAGAAACAAGGAAGATGTAGCAGAGGCTATTGCTATGGTTAGGTCCTATTTCAGACGTACTTTGTTTGTGCTTATACCAAACTAACCATTTATTTATCCTTGTATTTAATACAAAAGTCATATGAAGCTGATAGTATATTCTAAAGTACGTTGATTATAGTATCACCATCAGACAACTTTTTCTCTCTAAAAGTTAAATTCCTTGAGGGTGTGGTAAGGGGAGGAGTGATGACAGGACAATTAGTCTGGATTTTTAAGCAAAAGAGAAGGGAAGAGTGAAGAGTACCATTTGGCATATGCAAGGATTCCATATAGTGTGTGCTCTTTTATTCATATTTAAGGATCCATCTAAATGATAACACTTTCTTTCTGGAGGCCGGGTTTGTGTGACCCCTGTTGGCTAAAATGGAAAACACAAAACTGTGATGTAATACTAACTGGTAGTTGGTGGTGATAACATATGAATGCTTAAATCATTTAGATATTATAAATGAAAGTACTGGATATAATTTTATGCTCTGCATACTACTGAAAATGATTAGATTTATACCTCTAGGACTAGGAGATCTGATCGGCAAATATTGTACCCTGCAGTCATTACCTATAAAGTTGAGGATACATGTTATACAGATAAGATCATATACTATCAAGAATGATTTTCTGTAACAAAACATTAGAGTCATTTATAGGCTGTGACCTTACTAGCAGTGGACAGTGGCTAATGAATAAATTTATTAATTATTTTAGCTTGAGAAGATAAGATAATAGCTTTTTTTGGAGGTATAAACATGAGTCTGTCTTTGAGATGGTTGAGGATACTTCTCTTTGAAGTTCCTTTCTATACATCTTCCTTGTGTGCCGGCATGTGAGTACTTCCTTTTTGTCAAATTTTTGAAGAGCATTGTGTCCCTTCTAAATTAAATTTTGTTTGATAAGTGATTGCATATAATGTACCACTTGCTGTATGACTAATAAGTCAGTTATGGCCTTTTATTACCATTGATTGGTTGCATCATGTATTTATATTTGCTTATTTCAGTATACTGTGCAACAAATTATCCTATTAAGTTTAGAGTTGCTGATTCATTTTAGGGTCATTTGAACTCTACAGTGTAAAATAACTGTCACAGAATAGTGTAGTTGGTGATTAAGGATGAATAATAGTTCTTTTATAATATAAATCACAGTATTATTCTCTTGATGTTTTATATTTTTCTAAAGGAGTTGCTTCAACAAATATCCAGCAAGAGCACTTGCTTTTTCATATTGCTTTTGTTCTGTCAGGATAGGTCAGAATAAATACTTCAGGTGCAGGACCTGGGTTTGTGGTAGGGATGAATGGGAAGTGAAGGGAAAGCTATTGATGACAACATATGGGATAGTTTTTCTTAAAATTTGCATCATCTTAAGTTTTTGTTATTTATATAATATATTCACTGCTTCACCTCTCCTGTGCTGAAATTACAATCTTCTTCTATGGGTCATTTATTCCTGCATCAGTTTTTTTGTGATTATGATAAACTGTAGGTTATTTGATGCATTCTGCAGGTTGAAGCTCTAGCAGTTCAGTTGACTCAAAGGGAAGGAGAACTAATCCAAGAGAAGGTTGAGGTGAAGAAGCTAACAAATTTTCTTAAACAGGTGATGCTTTTTGTTTTTAATTTATTTTTGGTGATATAGGGTGAAATTTGATGAGAAATAAAAATTTAAGGTTTGTTGTACAGACAGAGCATGTTATATTTACTGAAAATTCCATGGCCAAAGAAAGCAAAACGAGAACAATAACATTACAATGTACATAAATGTATAACAGTACTCTGATCCTTCGTTGTCTGTTATAAAGTCCCTAAACGAACTATGATGTCTATTTATATATTTGGTATAAAGATTCCCTATGAGTGTGCTTTGCTTCAACTGCTGATGTCAAAGGACAACATAAACAGTGCAGTGCTATAAATTGAGGAGCATCATATTTCTGTTTCTAAGGGAGACTATACTATTGCAAGAATGATCTGAGAGTATTTGTTATCTCAATATCAACACATAGCATGTTTATAGTTATTACATATAATAATGTATATGCAATGAAAAAAATGTTGTGTACTGCAAGCCTGCTACTGTGTCTGTCTATTAGCGTATGGGCTGTCTACTTTTTCCAGGGAATGAAACCTCTCAGCTCAGTTTATTCAACATTTTATCAGCATGATGTATCGTTTATTATGAATGAATGTTAGAGTGAGTGACAAAATAAATTTCTTTCCCACTATTGAGGCTTTAAATTCATTTGTAGGCTTCTGAAGATGCTAAGAAACTTGTGAATGAGGAAAGAGCTTTTGCTCGTTTTGAAATAGAAAATGCCAGAGCAGCAGTTCAGAGAGTTGAGGAGGCACTTCAGGAGCATGAGAGAATGTCTGAAGCTTCAGGGAAGCAGGTTTGGATCATTCCTTCTTCCATAATCTTAAGTGTATTTTTCTCTCAATTCAAATACATTTGCTTTAAATATAATGAATTTATGATATATGAAAATATTAGTCCATTATTGAGGCAGGTCTTCAGTTAATATTACCAAATTCCAACTAGTTACTTGAGCTTTAATTCTCAGTTGCCCTCTATCAGTTACTTGGAACGGAGTTCTTTTAGAGAATTTTATGTTTCTTTTGAATTAGATGATGTTTCTCACGCCAAATTTTGGGTTATTATAGGCATTTCCATGCCTATATCATTATCTTCTTTACAAAACTACAGAACTGTATTCTACATTTTAAATCTAATCCTCCTTGGAATTTTCTCTTTGGAAGAGAGCTGAATGCTGCCAGAGTAATGTGTTTCAATCCTTCTTGCTTTTTCTTGAATTACTCGCATTCTTCCTATCAACAAAATGATTCTTATGCAGAGCGTGTTTCAAGTCCAGTGAGTATTTTCAGTTTCTTGATCTGTTTACTAACAGGGAAAAGTTTTCTTTAGGCAACTTCATATAAAATCTAAAACTACCTGTATGATATAGCTTTTCATTTATACTGCATTGCTAATTAATATATTTCTAGATGGTATATGTATGTCGGATTCTCCCCTCTGGAATATGATATCTGGTATTCTGAATGAATCATCGGGTGTGGCCCTTCACTAATATCAATGAGTGTTGCCATTTCTTTTCAAAGTTTTAGGGATAAAACAAGGATACCAGATTGTTGGTTGGATTAGGCATTTTTGAATTTCTTTTTGTTGTGCGAGGTTGGAAAAAATGTGTTTTCTTAAGGGCCAATCTTGGATCATATATTTGTTTTTTGTCACAGTGCTTATTGCTTCCCTTTTTTGCCATGCCTTTGAATGTTTCAGAGGTGTTTACATAATTTCTGACGTATGGAGAGACTAGACAGTCTTACGCATTATTGATTCTTTCCCGTATTTTTTAAATGTTCCTCTAGTTGTTCTTTACTGACTTGCTCTTATATATTATTTTATTTTAAAACTAATTATCAATTAAGGAAAACTTTTCAATAATCATAGTATTCACTGCTTGCATGCAAAATGTAACTGTTGATATTGCCGTGCTGCATCAACCAAGTATTTTTCATTTTAACAAAATTTAGTTCTATGGGAACTTTAGGACCTGGATCAATTAATGAAAGAGGTTCAAGAGGCACGGAGAATCAAAATGCTGCATCAGCCAAGCAAGGTACACATTGTTCCTTTGTTATTATTTCATCTCCTTATAGATCAATATTTAATGTTCTTTTCTCTTCATTGTAGTAACCTGATCCCCATCTCTTTGTTGTTTGTATATAATTTTAGGTTATGGATATGGAACATGAGCTTCGAGCATTAAGGGCTCAACTTGCCGAGAAGTCTAGACTTTATCTTCGTCTACAGAAGGAGGTGTGCCTACGATCTTAAGTCATTCTGAAGTGCTTCTGAATTTTTTCTGTTGACTGATTCTGTGAAGTACATTTCTTTAATGCACAAGGCTTCAGAACTACTTGTTTATTCTTCTGTATGAGATGTGTTTCTCTGCGTGTATAGTATGTATATGTTGTGTGTATACTCACTAGAATCGTATCATCAATTTCTCAAACCTGATGAGCATCACTTGTTGGAATTAATGACTAAAATGAAATAAAAATGTATTCACAGCTTTCATATTCCTTCCTCGAGACTTTGGGATTTTTGAAGGTCTTATATGGTAATGGTTATTGTTTGGACATCATCATTAAAGTATACTTTTGTTTGAATTGAATGATATGTTTTTTGATATAGTTGAGGAGTGATCCGATTGTCTTGGTAAGTTTATCATTGATTTTCTTCCATTTCTCTTTTCAGTTATCAAGGACAAAGAAAGGAGAAGAAAATGTTCCCCATTTATATGAATTAGAAGGATCAGAAACGCTAGGTTCATATTTGCAGATTCAACCTTGCTCTGATAATACCCCTGAACTTTCAAAGTGTTCCATTCAGTGGTATCGTGTAGCAACTGAAGGAGCCAAAAAGGAACTTATTTCAGGTATCAATTCATAGGGTTTTGCATTTTAAATGATAATGTTTTGGAAGTCAACATTATCTATTGGATTGCCTTTTTCTTTAAAGTTGATCGTGCAAATCAATTGATTCATTGCTTACTCTGTTATCTACTTCTGATATACCATGGTTGGGTATTGATGTTAACATAGCATTCATTGTTCGGTAGGACATTTCTTTAGTGTTTATAGAATTATAGCAAATCAGGTAGCCCCTAATTGAACAAAATACGCTCAATATATAATTGATATACTCTTTTTCATAATAATTCTACAAACTTGTGATAGGAACTGGATCAGAGATTAGGAAAATATTTTTTATTTTAATGTACTCAGGGCAGGGTATTGAAGAACAACTGTTCTATCCCCATCTCTAAGTTAAGTATGCTATACTTTCTCAACGTCCTTTATCTAAAGGCAACATGTATCATTCATACTGTCTCACCTAACTAAGTAATGAACCCAACTAGCACGGTTACCTTTTAACTTATGATTATTATCACATTTTTTCCTTTACACTTTGTTCACTTGAATGGATTTGGGGGAGAGTGATTGAATGAATTTGAAGGTAAATTTTTTTGTTGTTTATTTGAGTGGATTTAGAGGTAAGTGAGAGTAGATTTGGAAGTAATTTGTTTTAATCTGTCACATCAATCAAATCCTACACTAATTTTCACAAACTTTACTTCCAAATCCACTCTCACTTACCTCCAAATCCACTCAAATAAATAACAAAAAAATTACCTTCAAATCCTCTCAAATCCATTCAATCACTCTCTTCCAAATCCATTCAAGTGAACAAAGCCTTAGAGTAAGAAAAATTAACTTTTTCTCCCCAAAAAACTCTCATGTACTTGCTACTTTCTGAAACTGTTTTCTGTCAAACATTTCAGCTTCAAAGCATCTGTCCACACGATTACTCTCTTATTTTGTGTTATATATCAGGTTGCTTAAGTATTCAACCTTCCTGGTACGAAGCCTTGTAAACTATAAACTGAACACAAATCTTCAAACTTCTAAGTAAAAGAGGAATAGTCAATTATATGATCAACAAAATGTGAAAGTAATCAGTGTACCACTTCAAGAGGGAGAGAGAAAACGTTTCTGATCTGAAACTGTAATATATTTTTCGGAGTTCAAATCATACAAACTATCTTCTCTATTAAGCTAACTGATTGCAGTTAGGTATACAACTTGTATGCCTGAAATACAACCAATACCAGAGTGTTTGGAAGCTATGTAACAATATCTTAATAATAACAGTGTTACAGAACAGTATTATAATGGTAAAAGAGAAGCAAACATATGAAGGCACTGGAAAATTGTATGTTATTTGCAATAGAAAGGAAACTACAAAAGGAGGAAACCTCCATTTGCTCGGAGCGTAGCTCCTCTAACAGAAAATCTGATCAGAACCCCTCTTCCGTCTGTTTCATGAGACTAAAATAATAAAATTATTCTCCCTCGTCTAACAACCTCCCCACTACTCATGCCAACTCCTTCAGTTAAGTAATTATTGCAACAGAAATGTTTTGTTGGAAGAAAAATTTAGAGAGAGTACAGTTACATATGAAGATACAAGCTGGTAAGAAGAGAAGATACTTCGAATTTGCAGTGGGTGATATAGTTTGGTTAAGCTGCAACCATACAGGCAGCATTCATTGGCCTTGAGGAAGAACCAAAAGCTGGGAATGAGGTGTTTTGGACCATTTGAGATAATGGGCTGTGGCTTATAAACTCAATTTACCTAGCTCTGCTTTGATCCACCCAGTGTTTCATGTATCAGTTCTGAAACCATTTAAAGGAGATGCATCTCAACCTTATATGCCATTCTTGCTGCTGACCAATGAATAGGGTCCATTACTTCAACCAATACGGTGGGCAGCAACTTGGGAGAATGTAGTAGTGATACAAAGCATTGCCGCAATTTCAATCTTGAGGACAAGGCTATTTTTAATGGAGGGAGAATTCTAAGGGAGTCAAGTACAAAAACAGCGGATAGAAGTGAGGGACTAATCAGAAACAGGCAACAACCAGAGTTAGTTGGAGGAAAAGGATATTTGGCACAGGACCAGAGGAGTGGTACACACAAGAGTGAGAGAAGATTTCCAATAAACAGTGGGGTGACTATGTGGGGAATGGATTATATAAGTGAGTGGAGAGGGGAAAAGTGTGGTGTATTGACCCTTCTCTTGTCTCTGGATTTCTCTCTCTGTCTCAGTTCGTATTTTTCTGAAATTCTGTGTTTTTTTTGCTGCTGTATGTGTCGTGGCTCACATTGAGTTGCCCTCTTCATTGTAAACAAATCCGTCAAGTGCTATTCGCTATCTCCTTTCATCCTCAGATTATTACCAATACCCCTGTTGATATCTTCCATTCT